GGTGGTCACGCCCAGCCACGGCAGCTCTCCTTGCGAGCGGAGGCAGGAGAGAGACGCGCCTTTGCGCCCCAATCCCAGCGGCCTTGAGACCAGACGGGTGCGGGGAGTGGATGATGGGACACGGAGGAGCTCAGCTCTCGAGAAAGGCCCAGTGACGCACTGTAGTACTTCATGGGTGATATAGAGTTCGTATCTCTCATCTCCGCCTGCCAGAGCAGAGTGCAGCGCAAGGGTTAAGCCCAGAGAGTTGTGACATCCTAGAGCGGAAAGGAGTACTCGCTTCCTTCCGCGTGGAATTTTCTCCTCCCCCCTCCACGTAAATAAATCACTGCGGGCAACGTTCTCTCGCGCATGCTCTGTTCGCCCTCTGAAGTCGCCCAGGATCGGAGGCTTCAGGGTGGGCGGGGGGGGGTCGCAGGAGGCAATCCGGCTTTGCTTTGCTCCCCCCCCGGACTTGACTCCTCCCTTTGCCCCTGCTGGGGGGGCGCTGGGGGGACTTGGCGTGCAGGCACCGCCGGGGACCTTATGGGGGGGCTGCGGGGAGGCGCCAGGGGGCCTTTCTGGGTCCCCCTTTTGGCAGAGCGGGGGTGAGGGGGAGGAGAGACTCCTGGCTGCCCCTCCCCATGGGAAAAGAGCGGTGGATTCTCCCACGGTGGGGGAGTCTGGGAGGGAGTGATGGGTTCTTTGGTCCCGGATCTCCGGGGGAGGCTGGAGTTCTGGGCTGAGGCCACTGTTGCTCCTCCAGGGCCGCCTCCCCCTCCTGGCCTGGGAGTCAAGGAATCCCCTCCCTCTGCGGCCCTTTGGCCAGCCCTCAGCCGGGAGGAGGGAAGGGGAAGCTCCGTCTGGTCTCGGCCCCAGGACATGCGGGGAGCCTGAGCAGCTCTGCTCCCCAGGAAGGAGCCTCCTTCCACCGCCCCAAACGCAGCTCCCGTCTCCAAGAACAGGAGGGCCGGGAAGGGCTCCAAGTGGGACCCCCAGCCCCTCCACCTGAGCCTCGGGGGCCCCTCCTGCTCCAGCCACAGAGGGCGGGGGAGGCAGCCGCCGTTTCCCAGGGGGGGCTGGGGAGCCCCAGACTGGCACTTCCTCCTTCTTGGGGCTGCTTCTCCTGAGGCTGGGCCACAGCCCCCCCCCCAGGCCCCTTTCCCAGGAGGACTTTCCCCCCCTCTGCTGCCCTGCGACCCCCCCATTCTCCCCCCTGGGGCTAGCATGGCGTCTCTGGGGTTGCAGGGAGGAAAGAGGCTCCTGTGGGGAGAGCAGGGACCTCCCTTCAGCCCCCCCTCCAGACAGTGAGAAGCTTCCCTGGGGGTCAAGGGGATCCTTTTGCAGCCGATCGCAGTGATCTGGGATCTCTAGGGGGAGAAAACACCTCCAGATTAAAGGGTGTTTTTGAAGGTGCAGCTGCCCCTCTTCCCACCAAAGCCCCCCCCCCCAAAATTGCAGGCTGCACTCTGCATGGACCCCCTTCTTACGGCGGCTCCTCCCTGCTAGACCCTCTTGCAGCGGCTGGGCGGGGGGGTTGAAGCCTTCGCCCTTCCCATCAGGCTGGGCATGGAGAGAAGCAGACGCGGCGTTGAGGCCTGACGGGAGCGGGGAGTGGATGATGGGCCACAAAGGAGCGTCTCGGGGCTCGAGAAAGGGCCAACGCCAAGTGAGACCGGGTGGTTCATGTGTTCTGTAGTCCGCATCATCTGTGCCTGACTGATCGAGGCGCAGCGCAAGGGTTAAGGCCAGAGAGCTGCGAGGTCCTAGAGCGGAAAGGAATGCCTACTTCCGGCCTTCCTTGGAAAAGAGCCTCAGGTGGAATCGTCTCCATCCAGCTGCTACGGGGAACGTTCGCTCGCGCATGCGCACTTCTTTCTCTGAAACTGCTGCTACTGGCTTTCTGCGCCCGACGCAGCGAGGCTTCCCGGGGCGGGAAGGAGGGGGCGTGTCCACGGTGGGTCACGCGATGGAAATCGGGTCTGCTCTGCACCCCTGCGGGGAGGCGGGGCCAGGATTGGGCTCCTTCCCTTTCCCCGCCTTTGAACTGCTCGCGTGGGGATCCTGGAGCGATGATGGGACTTTGTGCGCAGGCAGGGCTGGGTCTTTTTTGGGGGGGGGGGGGGGGGTCCTAGAGGCTGCTGTGGGGGAACCAAAGGGCCTTTCGGGGTTCCCCCCTTGGGCGCGGGGAGGGGGAGGAGTGTGGAAGGCGGTGGGAAAAGGGCCTGGGTGCCCCTCCCCGCGGGAAAGGAGCGGCGAATTTTCCCACGCCTGGCAAGATTCCACCCTGCCGGGAGGGGAGAAATCCTGAGATGTATAGAATATATACTGTCTGTATATAGGATGTGTAGAATGTCTGTTGGAGGTTGGACTTCTCTCTCTCTCTCTCTCTCTCTCTCTCTCTCTCTCTCTCTCACACACACACACACACACACACTTGTGACTGTATGATTTTAACTTTGTTGCTTGTATCCTAATGATTTTTTGACTTTTTCCTAAGTATGATTTGATTGCTTATTGTTTCCTATGACTATTAAGTGTTGTACCTGATGATTCTTGATGAATGTATTTCTTTTTTATGGACACTGAGAGCATTTGCACCAAGACAAATTCCTTGTGTGTCCAGTCACACTTGGCCAATGAAGCATTCACACACACACACACACACTTACCACAAATTGAGCACAAATTAATGTTAACCACCTAGCTGGGCTGCCCAGCGGCCTCCCTCTTCTGCCTCTGCAGGAACCCCAAAGGTGGTTTGCCCAGCCATTGCCCCAATGGGAAGAGGGGGAAAGGAGTTGCCCAACCACAGCCAGGACCCCCAACCCTCCTGGGCATAAAGAGAGGCCTTGTGGGGGGAGGGAATCCAAGGGACTCCAGGAGAAACTTTCAGCCCTTGAATTGTAAGGAAGCAGAGATGGAAAATGGGCTTCTTGGGGGCTCCATTTGCCCCCAGCCCTTCTTTTCTCCAGGGGAGCAAACTTTGCTGGGAAGGGATCCAGGCAGCCCTGATCTTTAAGTAGGAGAGAAGTTCAAAGTTCTCAAATTGTTTAATGAAACTTTTTGCCTGAAGCCAAGTTCTCCAGCAGGGAAAGTTTCCACCCGGGGTCAGGGGGAGAAGAGGGAAGCTGCCACAGACTCCCTGTCTCTGCCCAGAGTCTCCCGGGAGGATTCGGCCACAGAGCAGAGCTGAAACTTTGATCATAATTCTCCCTCTCAGGAGGGATCCCTGGATAAGTCAGCTGGTTCTTGCACTCAGAGTTTGTTGGGTTGAGTTTGTTTGTTCTCTGCAGGGAAATGAAGGGGAAATAATCCCTATGTTGTTCATAATGACAGAGGCAGAGATTGAATTAAATCCATCATCTGGAATTGAGACGTTTGGGAGCTTCATTCTTGAAATTGGCCCCAGAGGGTGAATTGGCACCTGTGGCTGAAGACAAAAAGAAGTGTGACATTTGTTGGCATCGTGGTTAAAGAGACAATCCCGGGAGACAGTTAATGTCTGAGCATGTCACAGATATGAAATGGAAGCAACATTTTCTTTATTTTGAAAACAGATGCTCAGTG